TGACGTGCGAATATTTGCGTTGTTCGACGGCGACCACCACTTCGAACAACTGCTCGAGAGTCGAGAGTCGGGCGGGAGTCGGGGAACGACGGCGTCCGCAGCGGCGTTCCTCGCAGGTTCATGCAACAACGAGGAGTGTACGCTCCGCGTTCTCTCGTCTCCTCCTCTTACCTCGATCCCATCCGATCCGTTTTCCGTTCTTTCCTATGCTATAGCGGACACCATACGATACTTCGATGGCTGCTGCTGCATTTTTCGATGAATCGATGCATCGTCGGCGGCTGCCGGCGACTATTCGACCCGACCACCGTCATGCTGTTGCTGCCCGCTTCATCCAGACGATATTCGCCGCCGTTGTTTACCGAGGTTGCTGTGTCACTTACGACAGCGACGGCGTATGGGTCATTAGCGCGACGACACGCCGGCACTGGCAGGGTAACAACACCTCATTCTCATTGCCAGCCTTCTGTGCCATTCGAACGTGTTCTGACGCTGGCCTTACGTCCGTCTGTTTACACCGTCCGTTTTTCGCAAACCTTGCAAAGAGTTGAGTAGAGGTTTCGACATGGTCGTCGTTGTTTTCGACTCTTTCCTTGATTTGGTCCTCCACCGAACGAACTGGAAAATTTTTCATCATCGCTCACAGAAATCTGAACTCAGGTAAAACATGCATTAAAATCATAACCTCTGGTTTTGCAGCCAGAACACTTAGCTATCGTCGATGATAGCATCGCCAGCTAATTGTTCTTTTAAGCCTCTAGTTTCTGTTGCGTGCTCGTTCGAATTCAATCGCGATAATCGTGGCGATTGGTATTCGATAGAATTCGTAGATTCAGCACCATGATAGAGGCAACGACGCCAGCGCTACTTGTGCTTGCTTCGGTAGTCCTCGCTCTCAGTCAGAACCCATTGATTATTTATTCGACATCGAGTAGAATCGACGAAAATTACACTTAAGAACCGAACCGAACCGAACCGTCCGTCCGTCCGTCCGTCGGTTTCATGCTGGCAACCGATGATGAATCACAAGGAACGTATTTCCGCCGTTTGAGGTCGCCGAGTGGTGTCATTCGCACGTAGAGGCCAGGTCACCTGCTTCCTGAGCTTTTATTCGCCACTCCCATTGCACCCTGCGTGAAAAAAGTGGTTCAGAATTTTTGTCGAGAACTTAATTGCAGCTTCGCTGTCATATGTCCAAGCTGGTGATTAAGTACTGAGCTTGCGAACTGCGCTCGAGGCCGAGGTATGAACTCGGCACAGGATCAGTGTAGCTGCGTCGTGCATATTTTCTATTTTCTACGCACTGGAACGAAATGAGTGTTTGTTCTCAGTGCTACGCCTGTATGCTTCACTGGGAGATGTTGCCGTCAACAGGTTTTAAGTGTGTGGTAGTTATTTCATCGCATTTTCGATGGCCTTTAACGAAAACCTTACGAAGCTAGGTTAACTAAAATGCCTCCAGTGGTTTTTTCTACACAACGCGTAGACAGATGATGTCGTGTTTATTATAGTGGCCGACATTTCAGCCAAACCGCATCGGTTATCCTCAGGGTAAAAAATAACATTTTCATTTGTTTGCTCTGAGGATGCCAATATTATTTGGCTGAAATGTCAGCAGCTATTATAAGCATTTCATCTTCTCTCTACCCATTATGTCTAGAACTATTGTAGCAGCATTTTCATTGAACAACGTAACAAAGAATTGAAGTGAATTTCAGGAAGTTCGCCGAAATGTTTTATTTATTCCAGACAGGTAATCCCAACAGTTGAAGGCGGTCCTTTCGCTCACGGCATCCCGACGGAAACATTTTTTCCCATTAAGTTTTATTCAACTGTGATGGCCTCTCTTGTTCACTCCTTTCATTTCTACCCGTTTATAATTTTCCTTAATTTTCAGTTGTTTTTCTAGCTTGTTCCTTTTAACAGGCTTCCTCTGTTGGAGTCAATGCCTCTATATTTTTTCGGCCTATAATTAAATCGTCGATCACTCCGCAGTTTCCCACCTCTTTCTTTACTACACGCCGCCAGCTTTTCCTTGGTCTTCATCTTCTTGTCTTTCCTGGTAGTATCAGTGCTGAACCACATTTTTAACGTATTCGTTACGTCTTATTTTTCTTGTGGTCGAACCAACGAGTCTCTGTTCCATTAGCTTTTCTAAAACTGGTGCTACGCCTGCTTGGAGCCTCTTATCGAGGTGTTCCGTATATGGTTCGTTTTGCTGACACTACGCATCCATCTTGGCATTCGCGTTTCTACAGAGTTCAACCGTTTCCTCGTGTCTCGCTTGTCACGATAGTGAAAAATTCCGCTCTTTACAGAAGCACCTGTCAAAATATCGTTACGTACATTTTCCATTTGATGGGCATCTTACTGAACAGTATACCGCTCACCTCTCTAATTGAAATGCTTAATTTTCAGTTATTCTGACTTACTTTAAAACTTATTTGCCTAGATAGAAATCAATTTGCTCAGTTGTTCTTCTTTCTGTTCTGCTTTGCTGTTGCTCTTGAACGTCATCAGTTGCGGATTGGTTTGCATTAGGTGCTTGTGTACAACATTTACGTCCAATCCACTGCTTCGGGTGTGGCACCATTTATAAACTGGATGTTTTCTCTTTAACACCAGTTTGTGTACTCTTTGAGAATCTGCGAGATGGCCAAATGAGGTGCACGTTGCGGAATAGTTTATCGCGTCGCTCATGCATTGTGCGACTGCAGTTCAACGTTTTCCACTTTTTTCTGGAAAGTTAAAATCCAGCTTGGTCTGCGGTTCGGTGCAAGGTGTGGTCTTTATGTGCCATTATTAAATATGTCCGTTAGCCTTTGCATCGTTGGTCTATAGATATTCTTTAGTGGTCTGTCCCCTCTGCTGTAGTTCAGACGGGTTTGCGGAACTTCAGTTTAAGGACAGGAAGGTTTTCAAGGCCTGTGCTAAACGGTAGCTTTCCTTTGTGTTTTTACATTCGCAGAAGATCGTAGCCTCTCATCTGAGACGCCATGGCGCGATATTCGACAGCACTAGCAGCGAAGACAAGACCAGTACGAACATGGCGGTTTCGGTATGAAGACTCATTGGAAATGGAACCAGGCATAGAAGCAAATTCAGATCATATTGTGTTTATTTATTTATTGACATCTTTGTCTCTTTCTAGCGCACTGCCTTTCAGAAAGTCTCTGGTGTACGTGTGTAAACTACCTTCATATTCTTCAATCCTTTGCCAAATCTTCGGTCACACCGCATGGATTCGTTTCGTACTTTGCTACATTGCGCCACCTGTTTTTTGGTGCTACTCTTTTTCCTTTCCTTGACGGTATCAGCGATTCAGTCACATCAACCAGGTCTTCGTAGGGTCGTTTTCACAGACCGAACCGACGGAGTCGACATCTGCATCGTACAGGCTACCCCTGATGTATGTCTTATGCACCACACATGTGTCTAGTCATTCCCATCTATACGGTGTTCGACTAATATCTGTGCATTTTAAAAATCGAGCTCTTGTCAGTTGCATAAAACTGTGTGGTTCATAACTGCTGTTCCACATACGCCCTTCTTTACTTTCATGAGCAACTGCTAATCACGAAGCGGTGGCACAGTAGCTAAGAGGTCCACTCCAAGCCCCTTTCCGGGTAACTAGCGATTCTTCCTTTTCAGGTTGATGAGTGATGCCACTCTATAGGAAAGAAATGGAAGACTAGGTACTGTGCATACCACATGAGAGATGTTGACTCTGCCTTTGAAATAGGATACTCCTGGCTGATGGCATTGAAATGAAGATCAGCGTCCCACCATTTACTTTCTGAAAGGAAGGGCGCCATAATGACCTATAAAGTAAGTGCAGAGGACGCCGGCATTTCAACAGTTCCAAACTTTCCTTTCCTTCCTTATCACGGAGTAAGCTCCATGCATCTCTAGGTTTAAGCCAAGTTATTTTTATTTCAACTTCTTATTTAAAGCTGGGT